TAGGTACTCATTGTAGTTTTTGTAGTTCTAGAATAATTGGTTTGCTAGATAGATAATGATGTCCTATTTCGAATAATGATTAAATCGGTAGAATGAAACAACGAAACAACTTGGGTTTGTATAATTAAAACATTGGTTAGGAAATAACACCTTTCTCGATAATGTTGATACATAGATTAGTACGTTAGTCGTTAGAACTAGCTCGTTATCTTGAAAGACATAAATCGTATTTTACGAGTCACGGTTGCAGTCGATTAATTACGTTTTTGCATTGCATCGCATTGCATATCATAATAGGGACGTCGATGGATCGCGGGATCATTAGGAGTTACTAGAGAAATGGTGCTTTTGGAGATTGTGTCGCCATGATGGAAAGCTAACTTCTGATTAAATCTTACCCAGGTAAGCCCCGGTGCATAACCCCTACTTTCTGCAGTTTAAATTATATTTGTGCATTAAGTTTTAAGGAGTTGGTTGAAACCCACTTGCATATATATCTTTATCCTATGAGTCTTACTAGTATGATAGGATCGTGTAGAATGTTATGCAATAGGACTCCAGTATAAGTCGAGTGATTGCCTGTCACTCACGAGATATAGGGAAATATATTACTGTATTATTATCACTTGAAAAATATAAATGGTGAAAATGATAAATGGTGACCGGATAGGGATATGGTTTGGGTATTGGTGGGTGTAAGAGGTTGTGTCGCCGTGGCCGCGGGGCATAGCTTGGTTACAATGCTTTTCCCTATCTGTGTCGGTTAAGGACCTGCCGTTGCATAAGTCTTGAGGCAAGTCACACATTTATTATCCGGGCACATACTTGGGTATGGGTGCTTGGAAGACTTCTTGCTCTCTTGTCGTGGATCTGACTCTTTTGGATCGACTGTCTTGGTGGTTTTTGGGTTAGGAGGTCCTTGCACCGCACTGAGTCCGGGACTCAGGGGCGGGGGCTTGGAGTCCCGGTTTGGATGGAGACCTAGACACCTAGGACAGGAGGGTGATGGTTGGTCCTACTTGTGCCTTGGGTACAAGCGGGCATGTGTTTTTGGGGTACCCAGCTGGGGGCATTGATTCGCGAATCGCCGGGCAATCCGGTACGGCTTGTTTTGGGTCTAGCACCGTAGTAAGAACTGAAAGATGAAAGATAGAATGGAAAAAGGAGATCTGATTGCTTACCACCTGCTTGAAAGTAGTACAGGTGCTTACATAGAATGGTTAGATAATGAACTAATGCGGCTGTTAAGAAAAATCGAATATAAGGACGCACACTTAGTAATACTTCTTGCAGATGCAATAAACCCACAAGCCAAAAAACCTTGCATATCCTTGGAGTCTTTTATTTTCTCCTGTCGGGTAAGTCTCACTAAGTATAATTGAGTACTCAGGGTTTTATTCCTCCTATTGCAGGTGACAGGTGGAGGCTAGAGCTGACATTTGTGTGTGGATTCCTCCTGGTGGGCTCAGAGAGGATTTCCTTTACAGCTGTGATCGTAGTTTTTATTTGTAACTCTTACCAAATGTTTTTATAAATGAAAGTTTTATAATCCATTGTCATAATTCATTTATCAATGTTTCATCATGCTATGATTAGATAATTACTTCCACTATAATTCTGATCACATGTTTATATTCCGCTGTAAATTAAATTGTTCATAACTTAGATAATATGATTATATTCCGCTATTATACTAATAAATATTATACTCTGATGTTGTATTAAAAGTGATGTAAAAAATGGTTAAGAATGATGTAAGCTTTATTATCTCATTTGTGATCCTGATGGCAAAAATGTAGATTTTCGGGTTCTCCCTAGAGTGTGCCCGACGGAACTGTGTAATTTAGTGTTCTCCCTTGAGTGCTTAGTGTCTAATGGAAGACAAACACTCCTGAAAGGCATTAGATTAGGCGATTCTGCCACACTAACACTATAAAATCATGAAGCTAGTGTTTAAGCATTTTAGTTAGAACTTAAACGCCAAAATAGCATTGTCCAACACTCTTTTCCGACTTAAAAAAGATAAGGGTTCAATTTGGACATAACATGCATGAACACTTGTTGCCATAATTTTTAAGAGCTCCATACCTTAGTAACATCAACCAAGAAATACTACATGTGATAGGCCATACTTCATACTAAACTATAGGAACGAAATACTTAAGCATTATTTAACTATTTGCTCAATATAATTTGTCAAAAATGGTATTTTAAACAATAGTTCAAATGTTTGCCGACTTAACGAAAAGAGCTTATCTTAGCTTCAAATTTGATTTTTGAGCTCCCAAGAACACTAGTTAACAATATTTATTTTCACAATTTAAAGTTGCATCTTCAACTACACCACTTGCTCGTCATCTTTACTTAAGTATTACACACAAGTTATATTTTATTTTTGTTTATATAAATTGTTTTTCGTGCCAAACAATTAAAACGACTTATCCCATTTTTCTCGTAAGGATTTTTATTAGCGCTTTACGCACCAAGTAAGTTAACTTGGATATTTATTTGAGTCCACAAAAGTGAGTCACATAGAATTCGTTTATCATTTCACGTGTGTTATAAATTTTTAAAATCCAAAAACTTGTTAGGCCGATCTCTCTCGGACCTAAATCTTGGTGCTAAGCAAGCTCGTAACACCAGGGGTGTTACACTTCCGAGTCGCGCGTGTCTTCTCTTCCGCGCGTGTTTGTCGGCCAATCTAAAGGTGTAAGGACGTGGAAAGAATAAAGAGCAGGAAAGGGTTCCTGAGGGCACCCGCAATGGCTGACTCATAAGCTAGCTCTTAACATTTTTTATATTTTAATAGAAGAGAGAGAAAAGCTAGCTCTGGGTTAAGAGCTAGGCTCATACACACATTCTAATATCATGTGAGAGTGTTATATGGGCATAATCATACTATGAACCATTGCTAAGAGCTAGCACTATTGGAGAGGGTTGGTTTAGAGCTAGTAACTAACTTATACCATTGCAGGTGCCCTGATGCAAATGTAAAAGAGAGAAAGAATATATAAAAGTGGTTAGGATAATTTAGAAATAGTATAGGATTCCTGATGTAAAATTATTTTCTATATTTTAGAAGTGGATTATTAGAAACTCTTAGAGATGGCCTTCTTTATGTCTTCCGATATTTTTTAGAGTTGTAAAACTTTAGGTTTTTAGAAAAAATATTAGGTACTCTTGGAGATGCTCTTGGCATTTGTCGTTTTGGGATCCACATCATATTGCTTTCCTTAATTTTCATCATTCCTGCTATGTTGGAAGTTTCCTTTTTATTTGCTCAGCTGGACAGCTGAAAAGAAAATTATTTGCTCAGCTGGACAGCTGAAAAGAAAATGTTGCAATAGAACAAGGCATAGCGGCCGAGCCCGGGATTTGTGGCAGGCGTTCATCTTCCCCTTCACACAGAAAACTATAGCAGCCTACTAAATACCAACAAGTATTAAAAGATAATCACTCATTCTTGACTCAAATTTTTATTGCCACCGTCTCCAGCATACAAGATGGCCATCTCAAAGTCGGTCTACCACACTCTTTCTAAAGAATGAATCCACCGTCACTACACTCTTAGAGGTGGAGGCCTTCGCGATGAATTCGTGGAGCTCAAGATCATGACGGGCAAGTCATGTCACGTACTTAAATATACATTATGTTTAAATACATAATAAAACCAATATATCTAGATAAGCCAAAAGGTCCTATAATTTGAAAGGAGGGAGTTTTTTCTTTACTTCCACATGATATATTTTATACAAATAAACCAGATTCCAAGTGAAGCACAAAACCATTCCAAGCAGCTTGCATAGCACCTAACGCAAGGCACACAATCTCGAAGAGTGGAGCAACCATGGTCAAATTGCAGGATATTTATGTATAACCAATTAACCATCTTCGTGCAACTCAAATGAATGTTTTGTCATATGAATGAAAGAATGTGATTATGATCTAAACTGATATCTTGGACTTAAACAAAAACAACTATACACAAATCTAAATACTTACTCACGAAGAGATTCAATAGGTATAATACTATGGGAGTGTTCGGCTGCACTGGATTATTCACTCTTCATGCTGAAAACACTGTTCATACTAGAATGTTGTGAGAGAAAAACACTGCTCCAGCTAGAAAAAAAACTAAACAAGCCGGCTGACCAGCCAGCCGAACAAGCCATATGTGTCTTAAGGGCTAAGGCTGTGTTTAGTTGGGTGAAATTTGAGAATTTGGCTACTGTACCACTTTCGTTTTTATTTGGCAATTAGTGTTCAATCATAGACTAATTAGGCTCAAAACGTTCGTCTCGCGATTTCCAACCAAACTGTGCAATTAGTTTTTTTCGTCTACATTTAATGCTCCATGCATATATCGCAAGATTCGATGTGATGACTACTGTAGCACTTTTTGAAAATTTGGTTTTGGAACTAAACGTGGCCTAATTTGGATATATCCATTCCACGTGAAGATTGGAGAGGATGAGAACTAATTTTCCGCTCAATATGAAACTTTATATAGCGCCTAGCATCCGCGCCACGAGAATGCTTTGACTACTGTTCAAATACTGGCCTTGTTCGCTGGTCTGAAACTTGGTTGAAAAACACTGTTTCCCGGCTGGTTTGTTGTGAGAGAAAAACACTGTAGCGGCTGAAACTGGCTGAATCTCCAGAGGAGAACCAGCCGGCTGGTTCACTTGAACCAAACCAGCGAACAAGGCCAATGTTCTCCATTCTAACTCAGCCACGTGGCTCGTGCGTGTCCATCCATGGCTTTCGCCTCTCCCCATTAACCGGCCTGTTGGGCTTTCCGCTAAAAAAACTCCAATCTCCCTAAACTCATCCCGTCAAATCAAAGAAAAGAAAATGCGTGCAGCCCATTCCACTCCCTCCGCCTCCTCTTGGCTCTTCCTCTCCCCGGCCACAGCGCACGCAAATGCCGCGCCCGGCCTCCTCACCGTCGTCGTGTTCGACTTTGTCCTATTCCTCACCATCGGCCGCAGCTTGCGCAAATGCCGCGCCCGGCCCTGCCGGAAACTACGCGCGCGAGGCGCTTTGTCGCCGCTTCTTCTTGCCCGGTGGTGGCGCACGCGATTCAGTGGACAGCCTTGCCGGTGGATCCTGAACGGAGAGGCAGTGATGGCGAAAGAGCTTGGGGCGTCGGCAAGCCCGGGGATGGAAGCGCCCATTACAGGTCGCGCTCATCCTCATCTCCGCCGGTAAGCATGGGCTCCCCCAACTCTACGTCGAGTAGCTCGCCGGACCTCGCGGCCATCCTCGAATACCTCACCGCTGTCTTGGAGTACGTCACCACCATCCTCACACTGAGAGGTTCGTGTGCCATCCTTCTCGATCTCGATCTATGTCCGATCTCCACCTTCTTCTCGATCTCGATCTGATTGTTGTGTCTTTTCTGGATCTGATTTGGTTATGTCTTGTGATTACTTACGTGATTTTCGTGCCAAAGAATCGCTCCAGACGTCGGCAACAGCCCCTCCTCTACCAGGTTTGCCAGGCGGACCGGCGGTGGCAGACATCCAAACGACCAAACCAATTCCGTTTTTTTAGAAAACACCGGCCAGTGATGGTTCAGTTTGCTGCATGCCAAATTGACTTGGATTGTCTCATACTGTTGCTCCATACTTATTTATGTATATGTACATGCCATCTTTATATGCACAAATATGCTATTATAGCATTTCCTTATTGTTGATTCATGCTAAAAAATCGCTTTGTCTTCACAGTTATATGCCAATGGAGATATGGAGGATCTTGATTCACAATGGAACCTCATGCTGATTATAGTCTCCACTTTTCTTCTTTCAATAATGAGAATATGAGATTATGAGTGTTTCTAGATTTATGGTAGTCCTTCTGCCATTTCTGTTTGGACTAAAGTTTCTTTATGCTTGGATGCTAATAGTACTTAATAAAATCACCAATACTTTTGTAATTACGTTTGGTTTGATCTGTAGTTTTCTCCATGTGTGCGGAATATAATTTCACTAGCATCATCCCTTCCATGATGGTGTGCTTATCCTAAGTGTCGCCTCAGCAATGTATACATCAATCGTCTATTTAATTTGGATCCCTCTCTACAGGAGAATTGCGAAAAGGGAAATAATTTCTTATCCAACTAGCCAATCATGCTATCAGTTTTTCATTGCCTATTCCATCTATAATTCAAGATACTTGGTTACCTAGCAAGTGAATGAGATATTGCATTGTTCGTTTTGACTGCAGCAATATTGTCCATTTACATCCTATGATATTATCTTGACAGCAGTTCACTTTGGAAAAGGAAATTTTGTTCATCTATAGAGTCCCACCGTTTCACCAAATTAAGATTCCATGTTAATATATTGTGATGCAAGAACTATTCAGCTCATAATGCAAAAGTTCGCCTAATCAACATTGCTTTTTACAGGTCAGGGATGGGACGAGACACAACTAAAATATATTGTGTCCAAATCAACGAGCAATTGAAGCAACTGACAGCAAATCAATCTTTCAAGGTTTGGTCTCAAGGTATTTCATATTACATCTTCAGTTTGTTGCTTGATATTTGCTATCCCCTATTGTTCATAGAAATATCCAGTTTCTGATATAGCGAGCCATGCATTTTGATAGATATACTTATTGTGGGCTATCATGCTGCAAAACATGAATCGTGTCAGATCATGTATCCTTGCATAATGATAGATCCTGAATGTGATCTAGCCTAGCCGATTGATCAAACAGTTGACTGGCTCGATCATGTCGTCTGCTTTGATCTATTGTTGCCTCCGGAATGCATCTATAGCAGGTAGGTTGACCGCCATTATTGCTACTATAGCTCTCTTTCAAAAAGACATTATTCATATAGTTGTTTATCTTTATCCTCTCATCCTTAGCTGGGATGGCAAGGAGATGCCTCCGACTTGAACTCTGATTTCTTTGTGCTGATGCATCCTTCACCTGTACAGCTCTAGTTTACTTTGATGTATTTCACAATAGTGCCTTATAGATTGCTACATTCTAGATGGGCATGCCTTGGTAGGGTTCTCATGCCAAATGATAAAATTGAAGCATCCATATAGGGTTAGTATTTCTTACATGAAACCTGCCAACTATTTAGGTTCTCCATGCAACTTGGGATAGCCTACTCCTGCTCTAATTTCGCCTTGCCAGTTTTTTAGATGCCCATGCTATAGTTTCTATATATGTAGGTTTCTAATTTCTCTTTATCACCATACATGCACATATACACTTTCTGAACCTTCCCCTGTTCTAATTTTTCTGATCAATTCTTTAGATATGCTCATTATTTGTTATTTTACAGTGTCAGTTCTTTAGATGCCCTTGCTGCTCCTGCAACCTTTTCTTTATATATGTATTCATGATACCCATATATCAGTGTTATGGATAGATTCCTATCAACAATACAAACTTTGGATTATGCTCATTCTGCAGGCCTAACAATGGTCGCGTTGATCAGTGGTTAATAATCCTGTTTGAAGAGCTGACCTGCTTCCTGTTCTGCTGACCTTGTGATCGATACTCATGTTAAGCTGCCAAATAGTGCAGGTTTTTGCATAGAGCATATTATGAATCCTAACATGATTCTGAAATAATTGTGAATTAAATTAACTGCAACTAATTTCATTTGCAGTCAAGGCTGTCACACTGCAATTTTACAGAGGATGGTGTTTATTGATTATATGCTGTGGTACTTTGGTTATCCTGCTGCAGAAGATTCATGCCATGCAGTTTTGTCAAACTCTGGTGCTATCTCTTACAGAGAGGCCTAATAAGGTATTTTGGAATGGTAACGATCCCTGATGTTCTAATTAATGTAATATTGCACCTCCTTCCATCTTGTGCTTTTCAATTTACTAATCATGGTTATGATACATAATGTTCATACCCCCACCTTTTTGTCGCATACAAATCTGTCTTCTGTCTACATAATGCACACCATGTATTAAAAGTAACTTTTAACTTTGCAATTACAGGATACTAAATGTTAACCTGACCTTAAATAAAAATTCCTTTTGCTTACTCTCCACAGCGGCGCAGCCTAAATTTATATTTGACAATTGTATTTGTATGTGCCCAACCTTCAATAATACTAATGTGTTCCTCAATGCTGCCTCCAGTTCAGATTTAGGCTTCAGTCTGATGACAGGCTTAAGCTCACTGCTTCCTCTGAACAAAACTAGATACACTATTTTATACAATGTTTGTTCCATAACTCTGACTACAACTCAGGCATTGTCACCTCTTTATGATTTCCTTAGTTTGCCATTTTCTCTACCTACATGTTCTTGATGCAACTTATCTATATGCAAATCAAATAGTCCTGTTTTTTTTAATATACCGATTCTCACTTTTCTGCTATACATGGCTCTTTGGGGCCCTATACAGATCACTCTCTCTATCATCTATACTCATTTCCATGGCCACAACAAACTGGAAACTCAGTTATGAGGCTTCTGCCCAACTTAGTTATAGGGCTTCTCCCAACATAGCTATATACGTCGAACTAAGTATGTCAAATGAGATTCAGATTTCTTCTTCAATATTGTTATTCATAGATATATACTATGCTTACTTAAGTTTATTTGATGTATATATAAGATGGCAGCAACTCCTGGCGGTGTTATGGCCTTAGGCAGTGTTATCGTCTTATTGCTAGGTCAGCTTAACTTGCAGGGTTCCACCCAGTACAATGATGCTATTTCTTGCATCTTTAGCTCAGAACACTTTGTCAGAGTATTCTGTCATTGTACCTGCTGCCTCGCTGAACCTGCCATTGCTCTGGTATAGATGTCAATTATGTCATGCATGTGCGTTTTGCAGTTTGTATACCGCCTACTACTTACATGCCGAATTGATTAGTTAGCATACCTTATGCTGACATGTTTACATTATTGTGTGCCTGCTAATTTCTGATTGTTACTTCTATATATACACACACACACAATATTAAGCCTGTATATACAAGGGAATATATTATAATCATACAAAACAAACCACGACAGCCAATGCAGCCCTATATCGACTACTTACTCAACGCCAAAGGTTACACAACAAAGACGCGCAAGCACAAACATAGAGCACCGATCTATCGATCCAATCGAACCCTCAGACCGAACCATTACTCACAGCAGCGCGTAGATCATGCGGGCGCGGCGGAGCGCGCCGAACTACCTAGTTTCCTCCAATCCCCATGGGGGAATGATAGATCCAAACTAGTGGGATTCTGGCTATCTATCTAGATACAAATCGCTTATATTTTACAACAGAAGTAGTTGCTTGTATCTGCAAGAGAAAATTGCTCCAAAAAATGGTGGCAGTTTCACTTGTCACTTGTGAGCATGTGGAGGGCTTCTATCATTGCTAGCTGAGCGGGCGGGCCCTGCCGTAATAAATTCTTTGCTCCATGGTCCTTGTGGACGTGGTCGCCGACGGGCTTATCATCAAACTAGGTCAGGCTTCATCTTCATCGGAGCCCAGCGGAACTTCAATGCCGATTGCGATGGACATGCAAGAGCATGTCCACAAGCCTTTCTAAATTTTATCTCTGAATCATTATTTAGAGAGTCATTTACATAAAAATCGTTTTCTATATCTTTTCACTCTCCAACAGTTTTTCTATATCTTATGCGCGCTCTAGAGAGCCATTCTCGTCTTCTATTTTTGGCTAGCGAAAAATCCAAAATATAAGACGGCTATATTTGCATAACCATTTAGAGAAGCTGTTGAAAGATAGTTTTCACCAAAATATCTATTAATAGCATTTAGAAAGAATATATAGAGAGTCTCTTGAGATGCTCTAAGGTACCAAGTTCCATGAGGTATTTGTCTAAACGATAGATGCCAATATTAACTTTTTAGTTTTTAGTTTTCAGTTTTCACTGCAGTCACATTAGACAAAAATATCAAAGTAGGAATAATTGCTCATTTTTCCTAGCTTATAGCTTAAGTTTATATTGGTTAAATTTGTTAGAAATTAGCCCCCACAACGGCAAGCTGTCCGCTAATCTCCGCGCGTGGAAGCGTCATTTGGATCTACCAAGACGAATATGAAAGATCACATAGACACTAGAGGCACGGTATTTGTTAACGAGGTTCAACCGAAGCTTACGTCCCTGAGGCACGACTACAGATGCTCCTCCCTAATACCGGCAACACCGGTCGCTCCAGGTCCTGCCAACGTGCCGCCACCCTCCCGCGAACCTGTCGTTATGTCATCATGGTTACAATAGCAGCCCTTCTCTCGTATTTAAGAGAAGACCGGGTTATAGAGTCCAACATCAACCTATATTGCCAAATACAACTCGGAGTCTTAGTGTAACTAAACTTGTACATAATACTCGATACATAACCAACAAAATTGGCCGATGCAAATGCATTCATGATACCAGGGCCAAAGCTCTTAAAGTTTGAATCCTAACCAGCACGATTACATAAAATAATAATTACAACCGACTCATGTTTACACGTTTGGGCCCTCAGGCAACTCAATAGAAAGGAAAATACTAGCGCCCGGACCTCCGGATTTGAACAATTGATTGGGACGCTTCTGCTCTACCTGTCCTACCCGGTGCTCCTTCCCTTTCGAATCCAGAGGCTTTCGCTGGGCTCCTTTCCTTTCGGATCCAGAGGCTTTCGCTCTACCTATCCCACCCTAGCGCTCATCCCCTTCCGGCTCCCTCCTTTCTCCAGTGATGCAAAAGTAAACCGCGGTAATGGTGGTTGCGCTTCCTATAGCACTTGCAGACACCACACCTTGCCGTAGGTGAGGGAGAGAGATGGAAAGAGAGACAAAAGGATTAGATGTTAATCATTACTTGCA